TGGGGAGGCATGCAGACCATCGGGGTGCATTTGAAAATTAAATTTACACCATTGCACTTTGGGTCCCTGCCCCAGAGCATTTCAGTGACATCTGAGAAGGAGAGAGTGTGACATTGATCAAGGCAAAGCATAAATAACCACATTTCAAAATGAATACTAATTGCATAATGACAGTTTCCAAACTATTAGCCTACTTTACAAAAAAAGTTAATTCAACACAAGCCCAGAGCTGGCTATGGCTTATGTTCTGTGCTGCCAGTTGGCAGGCACAGCTTTGCCAGGGGATTGGGAGAAACGCGGGTTATTGTAATGGAAGCACACTTGGCCTTTTGTGAGGAGGGTACAAACTGCATCACTCTCTCTCAAGCCCCTGCTGTTCAGCGTTCAAGAGTAGACACCAGGATACTGCATGCCTTCAGGGGAAGCTGCTTACTTTTCCTAGAGGTAAAATGGCCCAGTGCCGAAGCTTGAGAAGGAGACTTGAGTTTGTAGCCCCTTAAAGGAAAGAGTTCTGGGCGGATGAAGGTGATGAGCACAGAGGAGCTGAACCTGGCCTGGTGTGTGCTGCCCCTGGCTTGGAAATCCTGGGCCCAGGGGAGGGTATGGCCACACGGAGGCTGGCCTTCTCCAGGATGAACTGTGCATGCTACCCAAGGCAGGCCACTCCACTGCTCTGGGCCTGTGTTTTCTCATCTGCAAAATGAAGGGAGTGGACTGGATGACCGTGAAAGCCCCCTCCAGTTCAGAGAGAATACCAGGGTCTCTTCCTCTAAGCCTAGTGTCCCTCAGAAAAAGAAAGGCACTCGGCTTGGAAGAGTGGCATGAAATGACTGAACTGATTCTCTGTCATCACTGTCCTTTGACTGCAGGACTTGTGAACATTTGTCTTATTTGCCAAATTAACGTGACCTTGTGTGGAAGTACATTAAAGGAAGATGAGAAAGTGTCTGCTAGGAAGAGGAGGTGTCTGACGCAAGAGTTCATTCTCTTTGGGACGTTCTATTGCCTTGACTAGTTGGGAGGGAGCATTAGGAAAGCCTGAAATGAATCCCCAAATGATAATTTCGTGCAGCATTCTTAGGAAGAAGGGTGTATGATGAGAGTTAGATTATGATATGATTTGCCTCCAGCAAGTGTCCACTCAAGGTCTGAGAACCCCTGTCTATGTACCACTTTATACCAGCTCCCCCACCATCATCAACAGGAGGCCCTGGGCTACAGGATTCAAATTAGACAAAGTAGGATTTACCAATCAGGAAATACAGGGAAGGACTCTGGTATTTTACTTTCAGGTTTCCATCAATTCCGAGAGTCATACCAGCACTAAATGTCTGTGTGGGAAAACAGTACATCTGTATGTGTTCAGAGCATGCCCAACTTTAAGCATATTACCCTATGTTCAGAATGCAAGCAAATGTCTGATTATTTTTTTGAAAACAACTCAGATCAAACTCTCTTCCCCTTTATAAAAATACACTTACAGGGACTTCCCTTGTGGTGCAGTAGTTAAGATCTGCCTGCCAATGTAGGGGACATAGATTCAAGCCCTGGTCTGGGAAGGTCCCACATGCCATGGAGCAACTAAGCCCGTGTGCCACAACTACTTAGCCTGTACTCTAGAGCCTGTAAGCCACAACTACTGAGCCCATGCACCGCAACTACTGAAGCCCATGTGCCTAGAGCCCATGCTCCCAACAAGAGAAGCCTCTGCAATGAGAAGCCTCTGCACCCAAATGAAGAGCAGCCCCCGCTCGCCGCAACTAGAGAAAGCCCGTGCGAAGCAACGAAGACCCAATGCTGCCAAAATAAATAAATAAATAAATAAAAATACACTTACAGTACTGTGACTCTTTGTTTAAAAAGTCACTTTCCAGTCACTTTTCACAGTCCAATCTCAAGGAAGATCCTTGTATTCTCAACCAAATAATTATTTCTAGTCTCTCCTTTCCTTGCCCTTTTTTCCTAAGTACTTGCAGTCCAAAGGATGGCTGGGATTTTGATTCTCAGGCTCTTCCAAGTTAGACCTCCAAGGTTCTAACTAGATTTGTTTGAAACAAGATCCAGGTTACATAAATCTAATAAAAAAAAAGCTTGCTTTCCCCCCAAATACCTCATACCTTCTCCCTGCTTAATTTGACTGCAAAAATGACTATTGTGTGGGCTTCCCTGGTGGCACACTGGTTAAGAATCCGCCTGCCAATGCAGGGGACACGGGTTCGAGCCCTGGTCTGGGAATGATCCCACATGCTCCGGAGCAGCTAAGCCCGTGCACCACAACTACTGCGCTTCTGCTCTAGAGCCCACGAGCCACAACGACTGAGCCCATGTGTCACAACTACTGAAGCCTGCATACCTAGAGCCCATGCTCCACAACAAGAGAAGCCACCGCAATGAGAAGCCAGCGCACCGCAACGAAGAGTAGCCCCTGCTCGCTGCAACCAGAGAAAAGCCCGCGCGCAGCAACGAAGACCCAACACAGCCACAAATAAAATAAACAAAAATTTTTAAAAATGACTATTGTGAAAACTGTCATGTGTTCATCAATGTGAAACAACTTTAGAAAGAAAGAGCACATCCAGAATTATTACTGTAAAATGCTGAAGCACTTGTACTTCTCCTGAGATTATGTTTTTAAAATTTGTCACCCAAAACTGCCAGGTCTTTATAGACCATCTATCTCAGGTAAATATATTTGCCCATAGTCAATTTCTAATGATTTTTAATAAATGGAAATAATTTCCTTATATTAAAATAATTAATTTCTGATCTATGCTTTGGGGATATTTGAAATGCACTTTAAGAGGATGCTATTTGTGAGATTATTTTAAAAGACCTCTCCCTTTCAAAACCTAGACTGAGGGGAACCTATCTTATGCAGAAACGTTTTGCATCTTTCCTCTGCCTCCATCCCACCATCCTTCCTTAAATCATCTGGCACCTGGAAGAAGTAGATGTGTTTTTTTTTTAAATTTTATTATTTTTGGCTGTGTCGGGTCTTTGTTGCTGTGCGCAGGCTTTCTCTACTTGCGGTGAGCGGGGGCTACTCTTCATTGCGGTGCGCGGGCTTCTCATCGCAGTGGCTTCTCTTGTTGCGGAGCACAGGCTCTAGGTGTGCGAGCTTCATTAGCTGCAGCACGTGGGCTCAGTAGTTGTGGCGCACAGGTTCTAGAGCACAGGCTCAGTAGTTGTGGCACATGGGCTTAGTTGCTCCGCGGCATGTGGATCTTCCCAGGCCAGTGATCGAACCCATGTCCCCTGCATTGGCAGGCGGATTCTTAACCACTGTGCCACCAGGGAAGCCCTAGTCCTATGTTTTTAAAAATACTATATATGTCTCTTGAAGACCCCATCCACTTATGTGGAAGGGTATTTACTTTTTTGCTTCTTCCAGGCAGCCTGAGATGAAAAAATGTTCTGTTTGTCAGACTGCATCTGAGAGTAAACTGTGGGATTTGTGCACTTGGTACTGTTTGAGTCTCAGGGTGGCAAGGCTCTATGGGGTCCTGGAGCTTCAATTTGTACAGATCCCATAGTTCCAAGAGGACTTACAGCATTGAGGAACCTGATATTGAACAAGAAGGAAAGGGGGCAAAAATGGGAAATGAGAATGGTTGTTTCAAAATCACTGGGGGAGGATGGCAATGGGTATGCACAGGCACATCCTGGATGTCCCCCACTCCCAACAAGGGCTGGGGCCTCTGCAGTAGCAATAACCTCTTTTCTGCAGGAGTCCCACATTTGATACAACCACCTTGCTGACATTTGGCATCCATATGTGTGAAGGGAGGGAAGAAAGGAATGCAAAGCATTGGACAATACTGCAAAATCATATGCTTTTCCATGAAAATAAAGCCTCCCTTCAAACTAGGAACATGTAACTGCTGTGAAACTTGTCTTTGATAAGCCCCTTCTCCCCAACCCACTTCCTGTGCGAGGAAATTCTGGTGTTACTGTGACACCCCTATCTGAAGTCACTGCAGTCACTTCATAGAATGACTGTTCATAAAATCACTGTACGTTGATAGAAACTGATCAGAAGCATGAGTTCTACAGAAAAGATAGTAATATTTTTTAAATAGTTGGCCTGGCCTCCTTTTCTCATCTCCCATTTTTTTCTTTTCTCACCTGGCAGTTTTACATGAAGACATTATGGGTAAAGTAAAGATCTGCTTCTTTTTAATGAGTACCTATTCTGGACCTCTGTTCAGGGGACTATCTCTCGGATGTTGAGGGTGACAAACTAAACTTCAGGGTGTGATTGTCTGCCTCTGGGCTGGGGAAGCTACAATAATAGGCTCTTTTGGGCTGGGAGTGTGGGGCGAGAAAACAGAGAACCATTTTCTGATCTTAATGGAGCCCCCTCTTGTGTCTTGGGACCACAATGGCTCCTATTCCCCTATCACCTCCATAAAATGGAGGGCAGTGAACAGAATTTGGAGACCAGATGGATGTTTGGCTGCCA